GAGAGAGAGAGAGAGAGAGAGGCGAACCCCCAACGAGAAATGTCTACAGAAGTAAACTGGCCCCAGGATACTTCATTTTCATTCCCTCCGCTATGATTCCTACCATGCCTGGATGAAATCATACCAAACAGATACACGTGTGTCTCTGAGGCCTACAGACAATAATAGTAATAGTCATAACAATAATAGTAACAACAACAACAATAATAATAATAATATAATAATAATAATATAATAATAATAATCATCATCATCACCATCATCATTGTGCATCATCATAACAATAATAACAATAATAGCAATTCTAATAATTATAACAATAATAATAATAATAGTAATAATAAAACTCGGTTGGGAAGGCCTGGTCTGGCGGATTGGTCATGACCTCCGCGAAGCTACCCGTGAGACTTCCGGCCACAAAGCTCAGGGTGACCTCCCACGCTAGGCTTAGGGTTTAGGGTTTAGGGTTTAGGCTTAGGGCCTTGGGTACTTCAGGAGCAGGTCATAATCAGTTACCTGACCTACGCACAACCTGCCCACCAGTGAGAAACTCAACATGGCTGTTCTCTTGCCTACCCGTACACCATCACGAAAGAGACATCGGTCGTGCCGCTAATGAGCTGCTGATCTCTGTGGCCATGAACTGAAGTGCCGACCATCATGATGATGATGATGATAATGATGATGATGATGATGGTGATGATACTGAAAGCCCCCTGGCCCGAGTGACTCAGGGATCTTCTTTCTTTAGCATGGGCCATGGCTCTGCAGGGAAGGGACAAGGGCGTGGGGAGCAAACACCACGCAACGATTTGGGTGATGCAGCTCCTGCTCCCGCTCCTGTTCGGTCTACACCAAGGACATATGATGGTAATCCGGCAAGGGGGCCACAAGTGGAGCCCCAAGACCGTGAGCGAAGCCGCTCCCCGCCGCGAGGACCTCCTCCGCCACCGGGAGCTATTCTGCCAAGGCCCGCTGGGTCAGGAAGACGTGACCCCGAAGAGCCTCGCACAGACACCTCCCCATCGCTGCCCAGCTCCCAGTTCATGGTTTCAGGAAGCAGCTCCCACGACGACAGTGACTGCAGCTCCAGCTTTTCGCTTATCCTGCAAGCGGGTCCATTGGACGAGGCCAAGGCCTTCCTGCAAGGGCTCTACAAAAACCAACTCGGGGAGCTACAGCCGAACCTCAGCAGCAGATCCCGTGCTGGGAAGCTTGCATGGTACCAGCGAGACGTGGCGGCAGCTGACTGGCACGCCTTATGCTCAAAGGCTGAGCACTACCTGCAGGACAGCTGGCTGGTGCAGTGGCAGAATTGGCGAGTGGCACACGCTCGTGGAAAACGACGGGCGGGCGAGCCCCGCGAGTGAGGTGGTCCACCCAAGCAGATGGCAGCAAACCTGTGTCCCATGGCGGCCGCGACTTCTGCGTGCCGAGCGCTTTCAGCACAACCTTCTTCGGGTTACTAGGCGCCTCCGTAGTATAGCTCGCTGGGTCTGCCAACTCGAACCCCTCACCTTAACCAGGGCGTGGGCAAGACACCGCCCAAGAGCTCCAGCAGGCTCTGCACGCCAAGGCCATGCAGGCCGGCCGCCTGATACCATCATCCTTCCTCACTGCAAAAATTGGGCCCATAACTATAGTTTCCCTAAGCCACCTCCGATCCCCCATAGGACACCCATCCCAAGGCAAGGCCAACCCGGTCCCAAGTCCGGGACTAGTCTCATCACCATTGTGTTTTTCACTTTATGCCAGCAGACTAGTGGGGTGAGGGTTGTCCCTGATGTCGTGGCAGGGACTGGACCCGCCTCGGCGGGGAAGCAACACGGCGCTACGCCTGTGGGCGACCCTACGGCCATATACCTCAGGCAGCACAAACGAGCATTTCGCAGAGCGAGGGCTAGAGCCACAGCCTCGCCACTAGGTGGCACGTACTACAAGGGTAGGTGGCACACCCCTACGACCCTCCAAGCTCTGATGGGACAACCACAGCCCGACCACAGGAACCACAAGTCCGTCGGCGGGGCCACTCGATCGAGGCCGGTCCGCCCGTTCAGGTTGCTGTGCTGGAATGCTAGTAGTCTGTCTGGAAACATTTACCAGGAACTCATGACATGGCTTGATCATCATCCAACAGCGAACCAATATCATCTCATCATGCTGCAAGAGACCCACTGGAAGCCAACAGCCGACTTCTGCAGTGGACAGTGGCAATGCATTCACAGCTCGGGACATGACAATCCTGCTGGACCTGAGAAATCCAGTGGGCTGCTAGTGCTTGCCTCCAGGAAACATCTTCAGGACCTCTCTGTGAAGGAGCTCTTTCCAGGACGGCTTCTCCAGCTACAGGCCACACTGCGATGCACCAATAGACCGCTAACTGCCTTCATAGTCTACCAGCATGTCTGGCGCACCCACTTGACAGCTGCTGAAAATCATAGCCTCAGAGGGCCGATTTGGCAAACTTTGGAGACCGCCTGTGCAAAGGTCCCTAGCAGGCATCATCTTGTGGTGGCAGGAGACTTTAATAGTACCCTTAAACCTCAACCCCCCTACATAGGCCACGCCTCCACTCCCTCTGACGCACACAATCATTCACGAGAGCTGCAGCAGCTAGTGGTTGATCAAGACTTGTGTGTGCTCAATACCTTCAACAGCCGACCTCGACACACGTACTACTCGCCACAAGCTCGCACTCAGATTGATTTCGTGATGCAGCGCCGATCGGAGGCCCGTGGCGCTGCCTTTCAAGCCGGACCACTGCACAGCTTCCCGGTGGGTGCGGCCCGAGAGGCTGGACACAAGCCCCTGCATGCCGAATTGCCACTCCTGCCTTTCAGTAGGCTGCCACAGCCGCCGAAGCGGCCACAGCCTCGCTGCAATGTGCGGGCCTTGCAACAAGCAGTGCAATTCCAAACTGCCCAGGCCACTGCGATGCTAGAAGACGTCCAGCAGCAGCTGGCGACGTCCTGCTCTCATGCCGGCACCTTGTGTCAACTGCATTCGCACATCAATGCTACCCTCATGAGGGTGGCCCAGGAGCACTTCCCACCGGTGACTGCCGACGACCGTCGCATCAGTGCTGACCCCGGGTTTAAGGCCTCAGCTCTTCACACCTGGCAATTATACCACTCTATGCGACGCCCAGGTCCCAGGACCCTGCGAGGCCTCCTACAGCAATGGAGGCAGGTAGCCCAGTTCCGTCGAGCCTCCCAGGCCCTCAGGCAGCAAAGTAGGCGACTTAAGCAGCACTTCTACTTGGAGCAAATCAAGGAAGCCGAGCGAGCAGACTCCCAAGGAGACCAGCGTGCTCTCTTTCAGGTCGTCAAACGGCTTGGACCCAGATCCGGCAGATGTGCATCCCGCCTACTCACAGCCGCAGGCCACCTAATGACAGCTCCGCAACAGCTTGAAGCCATACTCACCTTCAGCAAACAGGCCTTTGCCACAAAGGATGATGCTGAGCTGCCACCACCATTGGAGCACGGTCTTGATCTCGATGTGTCGCTTTTGCAAAGCAAGTTGTCTAAAGTCGGCATTCGCAAGGCTGTGCCCTCTCACATCGCCCCGGCTGCAATGTGGCGCCTTTGCTCGACACCTGTGGGAGCCCTCCTAGGCCCGGCTCTCTGCCATCACTATTCAGCAGGGCAGGTCGCAGAGGTGGAGGGTGATTGGAAGGACACCAGTGTGATTTGGCTGCCAAAGCCCAGTAAGAAACCCACCTCTGTAGCTTCCATGAGGCCCATCGGTCTTCAGAACCCGGCGACCAAGTCCTTTGCCAGTGCCTTAAAAGTTTCTGTCATGGAGCACCTTGCACCCATGGTGAGGGAACTACCACAATATGCCTACCTCCCCAACAGGGGGACCACGGATGCACTGCTCAAAGTCCACCAGCACTTCGAGGACACAGCAGCTCTTCTTGCCTCCAACCGCCTTGATCGCTTCCAGCAGAAAGCAGGCAAACAGAGGCTAACGTGCATAGGAGGTTTTTCCCTATCCCTGGACCTCTCTAGCGCATTCGATGGAGTTCACCGCCCGACTGCTTATCAAACAATGCTTCAGCATGGAGTCGATAGGACCACCGTCAACATCATCCAAAGCCTGCACCAGCAGGCCAGATACCACTTTACGGTGGGCACTCACACTGCCTGTGTATGCACTACCAATGGCATAAAACAAGGCTGCACCATTGCCCCGAGCATTTGGGCCTTCTTCACAGTGGCAGTCATGCTCAAGATGACCGAAGCACGAAGCATGCAGTGGCTGCAACAGGTGTGCACCCTGTTCGCCGACGACTGCTGGGGCAGCTGGCTCATCAAATCCGAAAGAGACGTTGCCCGTGCGATTGCAGACATTGCACACATTATCTGCGTGCTTGAGGACTTCCAGCTTCGGGTCAACTACCAGAAAACTGCGGTTCTACTTCGTCTCGAAGGCAAGCATGCTCAGCGAGCCCTCAATTCCTGCACGATTGAGAAAGATGGCACCACCTACTTGGAGGTGCATATTCGAGGGGAGTCCAGGCTCCTTCCGATAAAGTCTCAGCATGAGTATCTGGGCACTGCTGTCACATACCACCACAGACAAGACGCCAACACTCAGAAGCGAATGCAGGCAGGCCAGCTTCGCTACCAGGACATCCGCAGAGTTTTGAATGGCCGCCACGTCCTTACTATTCGCCAGCGCACCTCACTGTGGCGATCGTGCATCTACAGTAGCCTCACTTACTCCATTCCAGTGGTAGGCCTGACACCCAAAAGCAATCAGAAACTCTACGTTCAAGCCACTCGGCATCTCAGAGCCATTGCGCGACAACCGGCTCACCTTCATCATACCCCGAATCGCATCATTTGGGAGGACAGTGGTCTTCAGCCACCAGCGTCACTTGCACAGCAACTTCTCCAGAAACATCGCGATAAACTTGCGACCCGCAGCATCACAGACCCCGACATCACCAACAATTCACAAACGATTGCCTATGTTGATTCCTTGCTTGAAAGCCTGAGGCACCTTCCTGTTCATCCAGCCACAGCACAATACACTGATGCCACAACAGCCTGCACCGTCGAATGCCCCTTGTGCCCGCAACGCTTCGCTACTGAAAACGCCATGCGCATCCATTGCCAGCTACAGCACTCGGTGTTGCCGACACACAGCACCAGAACACCGACCACCTTCACTCCCCACATTCATGCTAAAAACGGCCTGCCCCAATGCTCACTTTGTTTGAGGAGATTCTATAGATGGGGCAATCTTAAAGAGCACATACGCACCGGTGCCTGCGAGAAACTGGGGGGAGATGCTGCAGTCAGGTACCCTCACAAGCCGGCACCCCATGACGATCCTCCACGACAAACACTGACCGAAGCTGTGCCAGAGGGATCAAAAAATGTATTGAGCCGGTGCCTGAGCCTCAGCAGCCAGACATGCCTCTCGTCCTGAGACCTTCGTTCCGTGCAGCATTGCATCAGTGGGATCAGCAGCTGCGAACCACCGCCATGCGCAAAGAGCTGGCTCAATACTGTGTGATCTGTGGCATGTGGATTGCTGACACCAAGCACGTCAAGCAACACTACAACAAGGTCCATCATCCTGAGATGCCTGCCCTGCAAAAGCAAGCTCTTGCCCTCTGTTTGCCATTCAAAGCCCAGCTTCGCCGTGACAGCAGCTGCCGATTCTGTGGGACCAAAGTCGGTGCACCAGGCAGACACAGCCAGCAGTGTGCAGTGCTGTTTCAGCTATGTGTTGCGGTTGCCTTCTGTCAGGATGGAAAACATGGATGCACAGCTGGCGGAGGACATCTATCAGGCGTGCTTTCCCAGCGGCCAGGCACCACTGTTGCCCTCGCCAGCGGATCCTGCACAGTCCTTCCCGAACAAGCGGCCGAGACCGGAGTTCAGGTCGAGAGCCAGGCAGGGGGATCGCAGAGGCCCTCCGACCTACCACCCCAGCCCCTTCCAGCAGGGACCTCCGCCACCCCACACGGGAATCTCAAGCGATACTTTCACTCAAATGTGTCGCCTCATGCTCCGGCACGAGGAGCAGCTGGCACTGATCAAGCAAGATCGGGCCCTAGTGGTGTTTGTCAAACAGGACCAGCACAGCATCCTCCCGGCTCTCTACAAGGCCTCGGCTGCATGGAACGACAAGAAGGAAAAAGCCGACACCATGGAGGCGGGACTCACGCTGAAGACAGTGCTGCTGTCCTGTGTCATCAAGGAAATCCTGTCCCGGCTCCAAACAGTGACGGCGACGGAAGCCGGCAAAGGCAAACTCCTGGCAGCAGGTTGGATCAATGCCGAGGGTCACTGGGTGTATCAGAGATGGTGCCAGAAATCTCGGCGCCTCGTCCTGGACGAGACTCGAACACCCCTGTCTCACGACAACGCGGTGAGACTGCTCACCACGTTGAGAGACTCCCTCACGGGAGACATCATCCAGAAGTTCTCGGCGACCCACCCGCTCTACAAGCTGGAGGAAGCAGGCCATCAGAGCGCAACTTTCTTTTTGGAAGTGTCCCTTCGAGGCAAGGAGTCGGATGCAGTACACTCCATGCTCCTCCAGCTGGTCAACAGCACGATGACACACTTAGTGGGAATATCGGTGAAACGGGAGAATGGCCAACGGTCAAAGTTGGCACAGCAGATAGCGGAGCTAGCCTTCAGGGGCTAAAGCCGGCTACAGTGATACATGTGGGGGACAGCCAGCCAACACCGGCGCATCCTGTGCCGGGCCCTCAGCTCGACCCACCGTTTGCACTAGCCAATCCTGGCAACTACTGTTACATCAACTCATACTTGTATGCACTCTGGACAGCCTCAGTGCATCACGGCATTCGGGGTTTGCTGCCCCAGGTTGCAGGGGCGAAGGACGAGCCCATTTTGGCCCGTCACCTTTTTGGCTTTCAGCTCCTGGGGTGGCCGCGCCCCGAGCAGCAACACGATGTTGCAGAACTAATTGACTACTTAAATCCTCGTTTGTCACTGCAACATGTTCTGGGACAGGTCGAGAGCAGACGGCAAACATCTGAAGGGGTCTCTCGACAGTTTGAGGGTCCGGCGACCAAATGCATTCGCCTCCTTAAGCCTCCCAGGCATAGGCCCACCCTACAACACCTGGTCCAGTTCTGGTGTAGCCAAGACTCCATGTATGCCCTAACCCGGCCGGACCCCTGGTTGTTTCTGCAGCTTCCGAGATTCGCACAATCAGGAGGCCGAATCAGCAAAGGCAAGCAGGTCTATCATTGCACAGACCACATCCGGATACCGATCTTTGCTGATGAGTCTACACTAACAGTCAGTTGGGCGACTTACCACATAGTGGGCTACATACAGCATCATGGCACTTCGGTTCATAACGGGCACTACACCATGGTGCAAGCTCGCCCTTCCGACAGTTCCAGTCACACTTTGTGGCAACTGGATGATGCAAAAAGCCCTTGTCAGGTCTCGGCAACACTTCGTGACACACTGCAGCGCAACATGTACATCCTGATTCTTGTGTTGTCAGCCAATTCTATCGAACCGCGTTCATGCAATAGCAGCCATGTCCATCCGACGTCTAGCCCTGACTCAGAACAACTTGGACTGGGCGGCGACACGTCTGCAGAATCAGGAGAACACCATCGTTCAACTCCAGACGGATCTACGACGGCAGCAGAAAATTCTGCTGGACATGCTGACGCGACTGCAGGTTCTGGAACAAAGGCTCCTCTACCACGGTTACAAAAGTAAGTGCCCAGAGAATACCCAGGATGGCAACCAGCTTCAAACTCTAATCCCTCTCGAAGAGATGGACGAGTGAGGCTTTTTCTGTTCGCTTGCAGCTTTCAGATCCGGGAATCCTTTTTTTTGAGCCGCGACACGGCGCTTCGGTGCATTTAAGGGTCGCTCACTACGTGAGCATACGTGCCTTGCCGCTCCCAAGCGGCCGACTTGCCAAGGAGCAAGCTGTTGGCGTCGCTAGTAAGGACTTTCTTACTGCGTGGGAAAGAAAGAAAAAGGTGATGATACTGAAGTGCTCTCCTAAGCCCCGTGGCTCACAGGAGAGGCCCGGGTCGTGTCTGCTTCTTTTTGGGGCTTGTGAGGCCCGGCTTTTCTTCGGGGCTGGCTCCGGCTCTTGGTCCGAGACCCCGGGGCTCTTTCGGCGACACCGTCCGCATGCAGCCATGGCCACTAGTACTGGTGATGATGCTGACGATGGGGCTACGCTTTCAGAACCTGAGGATCTTGAAAGCAGAATGGAAGCAACCCCTCATGATCACGGACGTGGAGCACCGCCACAGCCAGGACCTCCGAAAGGACCACCACCGCCGCGGCCCATGCATCCTAGGCCTGAAGCAACCCGCGCCGCACCCTCGACAGAGACTTCCACGCCGCCTGCTGCAGTGCCCAGCGATGAAGACTCGGACCCAGCTCGCAGATGGCCCACGTTGGAGGTGTTCGAAGGCGGCCACAGGTTCTATGAAAGGGTGCAAGGGCCGCCCTTACCCAACGGAAGGTTTGAGGCGTCCTCCGACAGCAGCTCTTCCGTCAACCTTTCAAGCTCTGACTCTGAAGCTGCGGCCTCGCTTAACTCCCATACGTGGTCGGAGACAAGCTTGGCCTTGGGTGGTCCAAGCTTGGACGAAGCTAAGGGGGTACTTTGCGGCCAATATCGGACGGAATTGCTGGCAAACCAACCAGAGCTCACCAGCAGATCCCGGAGCGAGGGTCGGAGCGCTCCGACGCAGGCTCATGGGCGCTCCGTGGCATGTGGTACAGCAGATGGCGCACCAGCACCTCACGGCCGAGCGTCGCCAGCACTGGTCTAACTGGGAGTTTCAGGCGACCCATGAGAGGCGCCCACGCAGAGGTCCGCCGGCATCCTGAACCAGGCTGCCCCGCACTGCCTCTGGCCCGCCCAAGGAGCCTCTGCACATGCCGCTTTCAGCATATCACTACCCTACATCCCTACGGCCCTAGTCTCCCTAGCCCTAAGCACCGTCCCCATAAGCCATCCCCTGCCTCCCACATAGAAGCCTCCCAAGACAGGACCCCGAACGGCACTGCTCAGCGCGCATCCACCACAGCGTCCTCCGCAGGAGCGACGTTATGTGTGAGCATCATTAAATGTAGACCCAAGCTAGCAGCAGCCCCCCAGTGGCACCCAGTAGCGCGCCACACAAATTCTCCTGTGAACCAATCCGGTCCCAAATCCGGATCCTGCCTCTTCAAGACTGTATGCATCAGCATGCTAGCACAGGCAGGTGGGGTGAGGGTTCCTTCTGACTCCACGTCAGGAGGGGGACTCGCCGTGAACACGGCGAGGAAGCAACGTGGATCATCGCCTCCTCGGTGGTCAGCACCAACACTGCAGCCTCCTGCCAGCTCATTCACACGTTCAGTTAAGAGAGCCTTCCGTCGCGCCCAGAATCGTGCCAGATCATCTCTTAACCAAGGCACATGGTATAGAGGTCGATGGCATACCACTGAGTCATTAGGTCGACTCTCTGAACCACTCCGAAACAATCCCAGGCGCGTGCAGCCCCAGCCGCCCCGACGGCGCAGGCTCACTCCCCACCTTCGGGTTTTCTCCTGGAGTGCTAGTGGTTTATCTTCGGCAATGTTCCAGGAACTTATGGCGTGGTGTGATGTACAGGCTGACTTAGATGCAATCATCATCCAGGAGACCCAGTGGCATGAAACTTCCGATTTCTGTACAGGACAGTGGCTCGCTATGCACACATCAGGGCGTCACATGTCACATGAACATGGCAGGTGCTCCGGCATCCTCTTTTTACTCCATCGCCGGCGCTTCCAGGACCCACGCATTCTTGACATCGTACCTGGACGGTTAGCTCTAGTCCAGGCGACCTCCAAGCTCACCCAGCTCCCTGTAAGCATAGTCGGTCTTTATCAGCATGTATGGCGCAGCAACCTCCCCACCGCCCGAAACCTAGAGCTTCGTAGAAGCCTGTGGCAGCAACTAGATCAGCACCTTCTTTCGATCCCTCAACGGCATCACCTGTTGATATGTGGCGACTTCAATTCCACAGTTCGCCCCGACTCAACCACAGTAGGCTGCTCGGTCCCCACCAGTGCCACTCAGCCTGACTCGGATTTGTCTGACCTTCTGCAAAAGCACTCCCTGTGCGTGCTGAATACCTGGCACAACAGAAAAGCTTGCACATTTTACTCCCCTCAAGGGAGCACCCAGATCGACTTCATCATCACCCGGCAACGCACCGCACATCTACAAGCTAAGCGTGCCTATTCAGATCACACGTTTCCCGTAGGAGGCAGTAGGCTGTCAGGGCACTATCCCGTTCGTGCTCAGCTACCAATGCAATCTTACCACAAGCCGCCGTCGCAGGACGGCCCTGCCATGCCGCCGATTGACCTCCCTGCGCTGCAGACTGCCGTCTGCCGCAACACCCCGGAGGCGCAACAGACGCAAGCTTGCATTGCCGTGCAGCTCCAGCAAGTGGATACGACCAACCTGGTAAGTGTCCATCGACACGTCAATCGCATTTTGCTTGAGGTGGCTGCCGCAGCTTTTCCGAAGCAGCCACCTGCTGACAATCGTGTGAGTGCCCAGCCTGCTTTTCGAGTCACGGCTAGATCCGTCTGGCATATGTATCGCAACCTCAAGCAGCCTCGAGTTTGCACGCCGCGCGAAATCTTCGAGAAGTGGAAACTGGCTGCAGCTTTCGCCCGAGCCTCAAAGATTCTTCGCAAGCAAAGCCATTATCTGAAGAAGCAGTTCTATGAGTCTCAGGTGGACCAGGCCGAACAGGCTGCCAATCACAACGACCAACGAAGCCTTTTCCTCATCATCAAACGCCTCTCCCCGAAATCCCGCAACATTGCCTGTCGTCTTCGAGGTTCGGACGGCCACCTTCTGTCTGGCCCGGAGCAAATGCAGCGCATCGTTGCGTACGGCAACGCAACCTTCGCTGCCAAGGATGACGACCACCCCCGCATAGCCCTCACCACATCCCTGCAAATCTCTGCCCAGGACATTGCGCAAGAACTACGCAAGCTCGGCGTCTCCAAGGCAGTGCCACGACACATTGCACCAGCTGCTGTGTGGAAGCAGTGTTCACAGGACCTAGGTTATATCCTGAGCCATGCCATCTGTCACCACATGCAACCAGGCACCTCAGGTGAATTGGATGAAGACTGGAAGTCCAGCTTCGTCGTATGGATCCCCAAACCAGGCAAGCCTCAACTGGATGTCACCTCCCTTCGGCCCATCGGCCTCTCCAGTCCGGCTTGCAAAGCACTGGCAGGAAGTGCGACACCACCTGCTTCGCGGACTTGAACCCGCCCTGCGCATGACTCCTCAGTTTGCCTATGCCAAGAGCAGGGGTACAGCGGATGCTCTCCTTAGAGCCCACATGCATTTCGAGGCGGTGGCCAAGCTGGCGCAAGACACCCAATGCACCAGGTTCCAGAAGCAGGCCGGCGGTAGAGAACGCGAGGTCGTAGGCGGTTTAGGATTGTCCCTGGACCTCTCCAAAGCCTTCGACGGGGTCACCCGAGCACATATCTACCGCTCAATGGCACAGCATGGAGTCCCCCAGGATGTCATCACCATCATACAACAGCTCCACTACAGAGCACAATATGTGTACCAAACAGGCGCCCAATCTGGCTCAACGACCACCTCGAACGGCATCAAACAAGGCTGTGTCATGGCTCCCTACCTTTGGAACTACTTCTCCATGGCATACCTTTCCATGCTCCAAGATCGTCGCAGCAGCGCCTGGATCCAACAGGTGCTCACCCTCTTCGCCGACGATGTCTGGGGTGCCTGGGAGATACGTAGTGCCCAGGACCTGGACCAAGCCATTGCTGATGTCTCCCTCGTTCTTGAAGCTCTTGAAACCTTAAGTATGACGATCAACTACAGTAAAACGGCAATCCTGCTCAAACTGGTGGGCAAGGACGCCCGGCGCCTGAAGCAGAAACACACCTTCATGAAGGCGGGCCAGCTACGCCTCAGGGTTAGCGTGCATGGTCGTGAATGTGGCATTCCTATTAAAGACCAGCATGAGTACCTAGGCACCATTGTAACCTACCGTCATCGGCACCAACGCAACATGCAGCATCGGCCGAAAGCCTGCACCGTTAGGTATCAGGGGCTGCGCAAGCTCCTGAATGGATCCCACCATCTTGCCGTTCACCACCGACTGCGGCTGTGGCAGGCATGCATATGCACCAGTGCGTTCTATGCCCAGCACATCGTTGGGGTTACAACTAGTACTCTGGCCACCTTAACCACCACCTTAACTCGCCATCTAAGAGCCATCCTCCGGATCCCATCACACCTCACTCACATAACTACGTGCGAGGTCTGGCAGCAAGCGAACCTCCCTATGCCTGGCTGGGCGTTGCAGCACACCCAGCAACAATTTATCACCAAGCTTGAGCACCGTGCTGAGCATGCACCTGACATCACTACAACCTCACCAGTTCTACAGCACATCAAACGACAAGCCGCTATGCTTGAGGCCACCCTGCTGCGCGAGGCCGAAGGCCTGGCCAAGCTTCCACCTCGAACCCCCGCGGTCAGCTGTCCTTACTGTCAGGAAACCTTCGTCAGCGAAAACGCCATGCGTGTCCACTGCAGACTCAAGCATGAGTCTGTGCCTAAGCACTCTACCCGTACGCCCACCGTCTTCTGCCCTGAGCTGCACTCGCACCTGATCATGCCCCGGCCCAGATCAAGCAGCCCCCAACGGTGGGGCTTGGACTTTTTGAAGAGGAAAATGCAGCCAATCTGCCGCTAGTGCATCGCTCTGCCTTTCAGAACAGTCTTGACTCATGGGAGAAGTGGCTGAGCATACCAGCTGTCCGCCTCGAGCTTACACAACATTGTGTCTTATGTCACTTTTGGGTTGCCGATTTTCGACACATGAAGCAGCACCTCAATAGGGCACACTTACATGAGCTTCCGGACCTCTTGCCACGCTCACTCACCCTGTGTGCAAGCTTTAAGTCTCAGCTCCGGCGCGGCAGTGGGTGCATCTGGTGTGGGCACAAAGTTGGAGCCCCAGGCAGACATGTCATCCAATGCACTCCTCTTGTGCAACTATGTGTCGCAGTCACCTACTGTAAGGATGCTAGGGCACGGTCCAGACTATGCGATCAACGAAGAGGCGGAGATATTCGCCAATTGTTGGCCGGAAGCTCCAGAATTTCTCTTGAGTCCGTCAGCCTCTCTCAGTCCGGACCACCGCTCGCAGAAGCGCCCTCGTCCCAACCAGCAACCACACTGGCCAGGACGTCATCCATCGACCTACCACGGACCCCGGTGCCATCCATTCGGCAGCAGCTCCTACGGACCTCCACGACCCCCGCCTCAGCACGATCCGCTCCGACTCTTGACTCGGGTTGTTCTTCAACAAGAGCAAACCATCAGCCGGCTCAGGCACGACAAGGCCTTCGTCTTGTTCATGAAGCAGGGGGAAGACGGCACACTAGGAGCCTTGATGCGAGTGGCCAAGGAATGGAACAACAAGAAGTCCCAGGAGAACTCGACCGTCCGCTCACCGCTGCGCACGGTCCTCTTATCGAGAATGATTGGGGCACTTCTCAAACTGGCTCAACAAGCCGTGGCCACCGAGGACAACAAGCAGAAGATGGTGACCGCGGAGTGGCTCACGGCCAACTCCGAGTGGACTTACCGGGTATGGAACCATGCCGAGCGAAGACTGGTGGTCGACACCAACAAGACTCCACTCCAGCATGCGGAGGCCACCCGCATCCTGACCTTCCTGCTCGAGCATCTCACCGGGGAAGCGATCCAGAGATTCAACTCCACCGTGACTCTGCCCAAGCTGGAGCAACAGGGGGCCAACATAGCGACTTTTGCTCTCGAAGTGTCCCTCCGCGGCAAGGAAGCTGCGGAACTGTATCACAGTTTCGAGCGCCTGTGCGGCAGTGCCATCATGAACCTCATCGGAGTTTCGATGAAAAAAGACACACTGCCGCAGACACCGGCGGCCAAACAGTTGGCGAATCTCTTCTACCAGCGCAGACAACAGTCCGGCCCTCAGTCGCCAACCCCGCTCCGCTACCATCGAGATTATCGCCTATGCATGCCAATGAAGGTGACCCGTCAACTGCAGCCACGGCAGATGCCATAGCAAGCTCCCCAGCATTGCCCTGCATCCGCTTCAAAGGGGGTTCCAACAGCTGCTATCTCAATTCCTTCCTCAATTGCATGTGGCTTGTGACTCATGCCACCAATCACTGCCATCTGCTGCCGAAGGTTTTCTGGGTGAAATCAGAGCAGCCCCACACGGCAACGCGTCTGATGGGACTCCGGCTTTTGGGGTGGTCTCACCCCCAGAGGCAACATGACGTGGCAGAGATCGTGGATTTTCTGCAACCTCGTTTGCTTGCATCGCCCATCCCAGGCAGCTGGGAAACACGCCAGCAAACCCCGGGGGACCTTATCTACACTTCGCCAGTAGGGGCCCAAAGATGCATCACACTCCCCCTAAACCTTCAGCATCCAGCATTCGAGGTACAGGAGCTTGTCAATCAGTGGTGCTCTCAAAGCGCTATACACGCTTTCACAGCGGAGCCGCCGTGGCTTTTCCTTCAATTGCCAAGGTTCCACTACCACGCGCCGGAGTGGCCTGAGAAGCAAACCCATGCGTACGTGCTCACACCCAGCATTAACATCCCTAAATTTTCGGATCCTAACTGCATTGATGTCGAGTGGGTGCCCTATCGAGTCATTGCATACATACAGCATCATGGCAGCACACCAGTCTCTGGCCACTACACAACGGTGGCATTGCAGCAAGACCAGTACTGGCTCATCGATGATGACAAAAAAACCGCGTCTCATGACGAGTGCGCAGTTGAATCATCTAAGTGCCAATGCATACATTGTGCTTGTAGCCCGTGATGACTGTGACCGTGCAGCGCTGCCACATCCAGCACTGAACTCCCCTGCCTGTAGCAGTAGCAGCCCCAACCTCTTGCCCGACCCTCATGGCATGCTC